AGACCTAACAAAAGAAGTAACCAAATAGTCATAAGCATGTGAAAAGGTGTTCATTACTCAACAGAGTAAATTCAAACCACAATGAGATAACATTGCACATACCCATCAGAAAGGATAAAATTTTTAAAAGACTGTCCATATCTTTTTCTGATGTGCAACAGCTAGAACTCTTTTGTGGAATAGTTAGCCTCTTTGGAAAATTCTTTGGCAGCATTTACTAACTCTTTGAAGCACTAATTTCACTCCCACATATATATTTAATAAAGTACATAATTGCCCCAAAATAGTGGTATCAAGGATTTTCAGAGGCACATAATTTGTAATAGTACTAAAATAGAAACAACTTAAATGTTTAACAACACTAGAATGGATAAATATGCTGTGGTGTATTCATAGAGTGTATTCATTCATACAATTCTATACAGCAATAATTTTTTAATCTATTGCTTCACACAGTGCACAAATCAATTTGACATTATGACATGTATTATAGTAATCCATATTATTGACTAAAAGAAACTAGACTCAAAATAATTGGTTCCACTTACAGATTTCAAAAACTAGTAAAACTGATATAGCGTGTTAAAAGACAATAGTGGCTACTATTGGGGAAGATAAAGGAATAGCGATTGGAAAGGAGAATGAAAGTGTTTTGGTTGATATTCTATTTTTTAATCTGAGTGATTATACAGATATATTCTTTTTGACTATTCATTGTGGTATAATTTCATGATTCGTGCTGTGTGTTATAGTTAAGTAAAAAAAGTTACTTCAAAATATCAGGAAGTTACATTACTGAAAATGTCAGAGTAGGACTGGTTTCTCCACTAAATGATTATTAAGCTGGCAAAAACAGAATAATTTTTTCAGAACTCTAGAATCTAACAGAAAATTTATAACAACCAAGGGAATGCTTAATGAAAAAAGAAGTTGCTATAAAATAAATAAGTCATGGGGATGTAATGTATAGCATGGTGAGTATAACTTATAATACTGTATTGTATATTTGAAAGTTTCTAAAAGAGTAGATCTTCAAAGTTCTCACCACAAGAAAAAAATATTTGTAACCATGTATGGTGATGGATGTTAACTAGACATCTGGTGATTATTTTACAAAATGTACAAATACCTAATTATGTGGTATACCTGAAACATACAATGTTAAATGTCTACTATATCTCATTTCTTTAAAAAGTGCTGAATTTTGGTAAGAGAGCATATGTGGTATTTTACCTTAACCCATTTACAGTCTACCACTCCCCACCTCAGTGGTGGCCATGAAGATAGCAGCCTGCATTCCTCTTACATAGTTTTTTGGTGCCAGAAAGAGTAATAAATACAGACCTTATTGTCAAAGAATTGTATTTTTACTTGCCCTTTGTTTTTACCTGTTGGTGCCTCCCTGAAAAATTAGCTCAAGGGCTTACCTTTGTTTTCCCTGTCTCAGAGCTTTCCCAGGGCTAAAGTGGCTTCCTGGAAGGCATTTGTCTGAGTAATTAAAGGCAGATGTACAAGTTGCAGCTCACCTGGGGTAGGGGATAAGAGCAGGGGCAAACAATGGATAGTTTGTACTCTTGGAAAGAATAGGCTGTATGAAAAAACACATTAGGGAACAAAGGCTTTGTAAAGCTCCCACTTACACTGCAAAATCTAGATGTCCACATGCATGCCTACAGCTGGACACATGCTAAGAAAATACCTGAGAAGATTCTAGGATTTCCCCTCTAGATGAACTTTAGGCACCATGCAAACAGGAAGTGAAGGCTAATGCAGAGTTGGAAATAACCTGGCTTGCATTGCAGCAGTTTCCTAACACAGAATCAACTTGCTAAGACAAGGAGATGGTTTATTATTGTTGCTATTGTTATTGTTGCTATTATTGTTTGGCTGTAGTCATTTAATGAAATTGCTGTCAAATCAGTAGCTGACCGGTAAGCTAATGGAGCAGAGATTTCAGAAGCAACACATAATGAAGAATACAATCTTTTAAAAAACTTTACATAGTGACTTTTCTAAACAACAAAAACTTATAATAAGCATCAGCAGAAGAACTTGGGAAGGGGTAGAATCCAATTTTCAGTTTCCTCATTAATAATCAAAAGTCCAGTTTTCAACAACAAAATACAAGGCATATAAAGAAATAAGAAATCATGGCCCATTCAGAGGGGAAAAAAAGAATTTAATTGAAATGTACCTGAGGAAGCCAAGACATTTTACTTATGAAGACTTTAAATCAACTGTCTTAAATAACCCTAAAGAGCTAAGAGAAACCATGAACAAAAATTTAATAAATTTATTATAAAATTATAAATTATAACATTTAAATTTTAAATAAATTTATCCTAAAATTGATGAAATTGCAAGTGACCACAAATAGTCAAAATAATCTTGAAAAAGAAAGTTGAAGGACTCACACTTCCCAATTGTAAAATTCCCTCCACAGCTATGGTGATCAAGACTGTGTGGTAATGTCATAAGATTAGAGATATAATTTAATGAAAAAATCATACATCTATGACTGATTTTTTATAAGTCTGCCAAGACCATTTAATGGGAGAAAGGATAATCTCATCAACAAATGTTGCTAGGAGAACTGGATATCCACATACAAGAGAATAAAGCTAGACCCTCTCCCAAATCTGTAAAGTTAGCACACTCAACACCCAAAAAACCAAATGATCCAGTTAAGAAATAGAAGACATGAATAGACATTTTTCCAAAGAAGACATCCAGATGGCTAACAGACACATGAAAAGATGCTCAACATCACTCCTCATTAGGAAAATACAAATCAAAACCACAATGAGGTACCACCTCACACCTTTCAGATGGCTAAAAGTAACACAGGAAACATCAGATGTTGGTGAGGATGCAACAATAGGGAATTGCTCTTACACTGTTGGGGGGAATGAAAACTGGTGCAGCCACTGTGGAAAACAGTATGGAGGTTCCTCAAAAAGTTAAAAATAAAACTACCCTAAGACTCAGCAATTGCAATATTTACCCAAAGGATACCAAAATACTGATTCATAGGGATACATGCACCCTGAAGTTTATACCAGAATTATCAACAATAGCCAAATTATGAAAAGAGCCCAAATGTCCATTGACTGATGAATGGATAAAGATGATGTGGTGTATATATATATATCATGGAATATTACTCGGCTATAAAAAAGAATGAAATCTTGCCATTTGCATCGATGTTGATGGAGCAAGAGTGTATTATGCTAAGTGAAATAAGTCAGAAAAAGACAAATACCATATGATTTCACTCATATGTGGAATTTAAGAAACAAAACAGATGAACATAGGGGGAGGGGAAAAAATGAGAGGGAGGCAAACCATAAGAGAGACTCTTAATATAGAGAACAAACTGAGAGTTGCTGGAGGGAAGGTTGCAGGGGGGAATGGGCTTGATGGGTGATAAGTATTAAGGAGGGCACTGGGTTTTATGTGTAAGCGATCACTAAAATCTTCTGAAACTAATATTACACTCTGTGTTAACTAACTAGAATTTAAGTAAAAACTTGAAAGAAGAAAATAAAGTTAGACTCCTACATCATGCCATATACAAAAATTAACTGAAATATGATGAAAGATTTGAATTAATGGCTAAAGCTATAAAGTTCAAAGAGAAAACAAAGGGGTAATCTTTCATGACCTTGATTATGGCAAAAGTTTCTTAGATATTATACCAAAAGCATAAATAACAAAAGAAAAAATAGATAAAATTGTCTTCATCATCAGGTGAAAAGACAACACTGAGTTGGAGAAAATTTTCAAATCATATCTGAGAGGGTTTAGTATTGATAATATATAAATAATTCTTAGAGCTCAACAATAGAAAGACAAACACTTTTTTTAAGTGAGCAAAGAACTTGTGTAGACTTTTTCAAAAAAGCACATGAAAATATGCTTAACCTCATTAGTCATTGAGGAAGTGAAAATTAAAGCCACAATTATGTGTACCACTTCATACCCACTAGGATGGCTAAAATTTTTTTAAAGAGGAAAATAACAAGTGTTGACCAGGATATGGATTAATTAGAACTACATACATTGCTAGTGGGAATGTAAAATGGTGAGGCTGATAAGGAAAATTGTTTGGCAATTTCTCAAAAAGCTAAACAATTATTATATAACCAAGCACTTCTACTTTTAGGTATATGCAAAACTTGTACATGAATGCTCATAGAAGCATTATTCACAATAGCCAAAAGCTAGAAACAAAGGCTTTTTTTGTTTTTATTGAGATGATCATATGGTTTTTCTTCTTTAATCTGTCAGTATGATGAATAACAATATGGTGATTGATTTTTTTAATGTTTACTCTTGCATTCCTAGGATGAACTGCAACTTAGTCATGATTTATTATCCTTTCTATGTTTTTTATTTGATTTGCTAATATTTTATTGACAATTTTTATACCTGTGCTTGAGGAATAAAGTTTTGTAATTCTCTTTTTTGGTTTTGGTGTCAGGTTAAAGCTGAACTAATAAAATGTGGGAATTATTCTATCCTTTTTATTTCTAGATTAGTTATTATAGAATTACAATTATGTTATTGCCAAATAATGATACAACTCTAGATAGCTTTAAGGATTTGCTTTTCATATTTTGAAGCTTAACTTTAACTTCACTATGATATTGACTTCAAAATTATTTTAATGTAATCAAAATTAAGTCAAGTATTTTTTTTGAGAGTAAACAATTTTATATAAAAATATATTGCTCATGCAAGCCAGTTTTCATTGTTCTCTATTCAACATGAAATCTTTTCACAGTAAAATCTATTGTTCTTTTTTAAATTTAAGATTTTAGGGCATTGTTTAAAAAATAAACCACTACCGTGAGCTTGGAAATGGTTTAACATATATGAGTTCTCATTAGAATGGGGTTTTGAATCAAATTTTAGCAATAACTCAAGTTTTTATACATTTAGAATTATTATGATTTTTTAAATTTACTGTAATTAATGCTAATGTATTTTTTATCTAGTCATGCAGACGGATCAATAAAATTTTGGGATGCTTCTGCAAGTAAGTTTTTTTAAAAATTTTTTATTGTTATGTTAATCACCATACATTACATCATTAGTTTTGGATGTAGTGTTCCATGATTCATTGTTTGTGCATAACACCCAGTGCTCCATGCAGAATATGCCCTCTTTAATACCCATCACCAGGCTAACCCATCCCCCCACCCCCCTTCCCTCTAGAACCCTCAGTTTGTTTTTCAGAGTCCATCGTCTCTCATGGTTGGTCTCCCCCTCCAATTTCCCCCCCTTCATTCTTCCCCTCCTGCTATCTTCTTCTTTTTTTTTTTTCTTAACATATATTCTGCAAGTAAGTTTTAAGTCTCTTGTTCTGTAACAGAAAATACTTGGTTAATATTTACTCAGAGCCATTCACCACTTTTTAGTTTGGACAATTAATATTTCAGATACATTTTTAGCATGCATATATGGCTATGTTATAAAAATCCGTTTCCTATGTTAAGTAAGTTTAAAGTACTATCTCTACTATACTTTGCCTTTATAATATAAACTGGACTGAATTCACTATCCATAACCCATTATATTTACAAAAGGTAAGGTATGTTGAAAAATGTACCAAACTTTGTCAGATTAACTCAGTTGAAGGAATTTCCTTTACCTCTAGCTCTTGTCCTGGAGAAGTTTTTTTTAATCTCACTAGTCCACTTTTCTACTTGTCTACCAAGCCTTGTATGAATGAAAAGAAATGATTTGATAAATGTAAAATTCTTTTAAGATGTTTGAAAATTATATAATTTAAGGAATAAGGTAGTCCTCTCAGTGTTTAAGGGCACGCAAAGATATTTCAGACTCGATTATATCCATATATACCCTTCATAAAACTTATATTTACTAAATCAGATAAAGAAATGCACATATATGAATAGAAGGCAAACATTATGATAAGAAATCTAACTGTAATATAACTCAAATTCTGTTTGTTACCAGAAATTTGAGATTTGTTTGAACCAGGTAGATCCAGAAAGGGTATTTTGATGGGTTAATATTTAATGCGAGTTTTAGAAGATAGTTAAGATTTTAGTAGTCAGGAATAGGAGGACAATAATAAGTGAGCAATGACTCAGTTTCTGAGGATGGGTAACCAGCAAGATATGGGTAACTCTTTTGGAAATGAGGAATACAAGAGAGTGCTGGAGGTTTGAATTTTGCAATCACACCACAAAATCCAAGTGTCTAGCAGGTAGGAAAAACAGTCAAAAATGGACAGTCATATAGAAGCAGCATGAAAGTAATAGTTGAAGTTGTAGAGGTAAACAGCTTCTGAGGAAGACCATGATAAATACAAAAGCAAAAGGAAGAAGGTTGAATATTGGTGATATTCTTAGCCTGTAAGCTAGACTCTTTCAGCAGTGGAGCGAACCATCAGCAAGAGAAAATGATTAAAATATGTAAAACCATGAATTTTGAGGCACCTTTTTGAACTCACACATTAGAGAACAATGGCTCAGGGAGAAATTCCAAAGGACAAAAGATTTTCTTTGGATGAACTTTCTCTTGTAAATATGACTTTGTTCCAAGAACACAAGTTTATAGTGACATTATTGTTCCTTTCACACCACCTCAAAGTCACTTCTTAGCTTCTAAAATGTGAGAAGACACTTTAACATTCTAATGATTAGGGTTTGCAGCATGTTTAATATTTTTACTGTAACCAATGATAAGGATGCATTTCCAATTTAATGGATGTCATTGAAGAAATATCACTTAGTCTGCCAATTTTGAGGAATACTGTCCAGTACAGAAGTAAGGTTATACTGAATTTGAATAACTGAGTTTGTTATTTATGTGTATTTGTTTTCTTTGCTGAGTAACAAATTACCACAATTGAGCAGCTTAAAACAATACTTATATATTATCTCACAGTTTCTGTGTGTCAGTGATTTGAATACAGTTTAGCTGTGTTCTTTGCTTAGGGTTGCCTGAGACTGCAGTCAAGGTTTTGGCTAAGCTGCAGTTTCATTTGAGATTTAGTGTCCTCATTCAATCGCAGGTAGCTGGCAGAATTCATTTTCTTGTAGCTTTATAACTCATGGAAACTTGTTTCTTCAAGCCTGGCAAGGGAGTGTCATTCTAACCTCAGGGAGGGCACCAGTCCCTCTTTTAATTATGATTATGTCAGCCCAATTAAGGATAACCTCTGTTGACTAACTCCAAGTCAACTAAATTAGGGGCCTTAATTATGTCTGCAATATCCGTTTACCATTGTTATTGTCACATAAAATAATCATGGGAGTGATACCCCATCTGACCTAGAAGGCAGGCTATAGCACCTAGTATAATTAATGCCTTACCCATTTTTGAAATGTTTTGGTTTGACATAATTTTAGACTTAGAGAATAATTGCAAAAAAATACCATGAAGTGTTCTATAGCTTTTAGCCAGGTTCCCCAAATGTCAGTGTATACTACATTTGTTCTTCCACCTTCCTCCCTCTCCCTCTTCTCCATGTTCACATATATGTATAGCTTTTGTAACCATTTCTGAGTTGCATTGATGCTCTTCTTACATTACATGGCCCTAAAAATACTTCATTGTATATTTCCTACAAACAAGACATTCTTTTACATAGTCAAATTATAGTTTTCAAAATCAGATTAATACTGATGCAATACTATTATCTAACCTCCACATCTTAGTTTTCACCAATTGTCCCAGTAATATCTTTTATAATAAAAGAAATTTGAGAATTATTTATTGCATTTATCATCTTTTGAGTTGTCCTCAATTTGGAATTGTTTATGAGTCTTTATTTTATGAAATTGATATTTTTGAGGACTTGGGCCAATTATTTTTGTAGAATCTTCAATTTGGGTTTGACTGATATTTCTCATGATTAGCTTCAGATTATGCATTTTTGATAGCAATTCCCAGATTTTTAGAAATTCTCTTAAGGATCTTTTATAGAATCAGAACTTTTTTATAGGAGAGTTATCATCGGGGTCTATAATGGAAAAAATATTCCCCCAAATAAATATTCCTGAAAACAATTCACCACCCCAGAGTTTTTAAAAATTATAACTGATCCTTTTCTAATACAGAGCCACTTGGAAAAGATTCTTTCTAAAATAACTACAGATTATTGTACTCTCAATATTACTAGCTAGTAAATTACAAATGTTTCTCATCTTAAGGATTGTCTAGAAATTTGTTGAGAAGAGTAAACTCTCTAAGAATAGCTCCAATCTCTCATGTAGCAATCAAAGGGGAAAACTGTAGAGAGAATTAGGTTCAATATTTCCATTGTAACCTTTCTGAGCCACAGTCTTTTCATCAATAAATGAGGATAAAAATACTGACTTCATGGAACTCTTCTGAGGATTACATGAGACAATGCATACAAAGGACCTATAAATTCTTTGGTATATAGTATATGTGCAATAAATGTTTATTTTTCTCTGGAATCTCCATCCAGCTAAACTGTAATGATAAGAGTGTATGACACTGAATGCTTCCTAGTTAAAATGTAATTTATTTTGTCTACTTGGGTTTTATTTTAGTGCTTTAACAAATATATTGAAAAAGCTTCAACGATATCTAAGAATTAAGTTCAAATTAGAAGATAACTATGTTTCAATATCTTATAGTAACTCTGCAGATGCTGTACAAGCTAAAAACTTCAAAAGTGTTTGAAAAACAGAAGGTAGGAGAAGGAAAACCAACATGTGAAATTATAGAGGAAGATCCATATGCCATTCAGATGATTTACTGGTGTCCAGAGAGCAGAATATTCTGTGTATCAGGAGTCTCTGCATATGTCATAATTTATAAATTCAGCAGACATGAAATAACAACAGAAATAGTGGTAAGTTTTTTTTAAATTTAATGTTTACAGCTAAAGCTATTAAAAGAAAGCAATTATCATAGATTTTGGCTAGGGTTTGGTATGGTTTTAAGCCTTCAAGACTACTGTATTTGGCCAGTAATCCAATTCATAGGATTTTGAATTATTCTTGTTACCTAGTATAACATATTGAAAAATAGTTTGGCTTAAAATGAAAAAAACATTTCTCTACCAAAACTTTATATTATTAAATAGAATGGATTATGTGTATATAGAATTTATACAGTCATTGCTTTATGTATAAATGTCAAATTAATGAAGGCTTTGTTGTATATCTTTATTAAATTTTTTTCTTGTCAATTGCCACAAGTGATCATTTCTCAACTACAATAAGATTATTTTTAATAATTTTCTAGATAGCAACATTTTTATAGGATGGAAATAATTATGGGGTACCTTATCTAAACTTTAACCTAATCAAGTAATTTTTCAATTATGCTCTCATAGGATAAATTAAATAAAAATTAAAGCATCTATAGATAATTGGCCTGCCCTACTGAGTCCATTTTACCATTTTATCAGAAAATAAAGATTATCTACTAAAGGCCTATCTAACACTGTTTTTACCTCAACAGCAAATTTAAGTACTGCCCTGTTAAAATATATGAGTTAAAATCCCACCCAATCTTTGGAGTCAGATAAGCCTCTATTTTAATTCTGGCTTTACCAGTAAATAGCTACATGACTCTGAGCAAGTCACAAGGCTCCAGTAGTCAGTAGTAGAGTCTGGGTAAGACCAAGTTTCATACGCTCATATAATTTTCTGTGTAAATAAAATGGAAAAATGGAAAGTAATAATAAATTACAAATGATAATTTATAGTTAGCACTCAATAACTGGTAATTGTTACAGTCACTGTAGATTTTTTTAGTTTTTAAGACAATTATGACAGTAATTTTGCTGGTAATATTGCTATATTACTACCCCATAATGACATTTGTTTTCAGCTTCAAAAATGCTGATTTTTTTAATCATATGATTTCACTCATATGTGGAATTTAAGAAACAAACAGAGGAGCATAGGGGAAGGGAGGGAAAAATAAAGCAAGATGAAATCAGAGACAAACCATAAGAGACTCTTAACCATAGGAAACAAACAGGTTTGCTTAAGGAGGGGAGGGGCTGGGGGAATGGGGAAAGTAGGTGATGGACATTAAGGAGGGCACGTGATATAATGAACTCTGGGTGTTATATAAGACTGATGAATCACTGAACTCTGCCTCTGAAACTAATAATATACTATATGTTAATTAATTGAATTTCTAAAAATGCTGATTTTTACATTGTAAAGCAAATGTTTGTTATAAAATCGATTTTAATTAAAGCATTGAATACAGTCATCAAATACTTAATTTGTAAACATTTTTAGATTAAAAAAAGGTTTTGGGTCATCTTTTTATTTCAATACAGTTTATCATATGTTTTTCAATTAAGCAATTCTAACCAAGCTATGAAATTGAGCTAAGCTAATGAAACAAAAATTAGAATTTATTTTGGAAAAACTTTACTAAATTCAAATTCAAAATAAAATGTTTTTTTAAACTAAAAAACTTGTACAAATAATAATTTGTTATGTTTGTGTATGTAAACACATCCAATATATTTTCTTTCACTGGAATAACCATAACCAATTTCTCATTTCATTATGTATGGAGTTGTAATTTATACCTTTAAAGCAGTATTTAGTATATAAAAACTTTATCTCAACTAGTAGGTATTTTTCTTATAAATCTGAAGAATTAAGAAATATTTTACATTTCTTGTGAATGCCAATGAATGTTCCATGTATTTCACTATTTAAATCAATTTGGGATATTTTAACTTTACTATAAATTAAAACTGAACTTATTAATATGAAAAAGTAATAATTAAAAAAGTTATCAGAAATTTTAATGTGATTACTTATTATTATGACTTAGATTAAATTAAAACTTGATTTTTTTAAGTCATTAGAGGCACGACTTCAGTATGATATTGAAGATATTATTACCCCAGAACCAGAAACAAGTCCTCCATTTCCAGATCTCTCATCCCAGCTTCCTTCTTCAAGGAGTCTTTCTGGAAGCACTAACACTGTGGCTAGTGAAGGAGGAACAAAGGACAGTATCCCATGCCTCAAGTAAGAGTTGCTACCAAATTTTGAAACAATTTTACATATTAGTCATATAATACTTTGAAACTGTGCCAAATAAAATTGTTCTTCTCTTTTATTAAGTTGCTGTCAATTGACCTACACTCTACCAAGGGGTACTGTGGTCTTTCTTTGAATATCCATGAAGATGGCACAATATTTTCATCCTTCATTACAAATTCATAGATTTTCTTTCCAGAAGGGTCCTAAAAACATGGCTTTAATAGAATGGGAACATGTATGGCAGAGCAGAAACTTGGCCACTTGCTTGGTATCTCCTAATTGAAAAAGTATGTTTAGGGAATTTCTTCAGTTTTCTTGGAATCAAAAAGAAAACCACATTTACTATCTACTACAAGAATATCTGGTTAGAAAAAAGAGGATTTCTCTCATGATTGCTAGGATATTGCAAAAATAATATTTCTTTCTTCTTTTTAACTAATCCAAGAAGAAGGTGAGATTTAAACAAAGAGTGATGAGGGAGTTAGCTGTAATGTATCTGGTAGAAGAGCATTCCAGGCAGAAGGAACAGCTAGAGCAAATGCTTTAAAGTGCCTCACATATAACGTTCCATGCTGATAGACTGGAAGAACAAATATTGTTAAAATGTCATGTTTCCCAGAGCAATCTATATTCAATTCAATCCCTATCAAAATACCATCAACATTTTCCACAGAGCTGGAACAAATAATCCTAAAATTTGTATGGAACCAGAAAAGACCCCGAATAGCCAAAAGATTGTTGAAAAGGAAAACCAAAGTTGGTGGCATCACAATTCCAGACTTCAAGCTCTATTACAAAGCTGTAATTGTCAAGACAGCATGGTACTGGCACAAAAACAGACACATTGATCAATGGAACAGAATAGGGAACCCAGAAATGGACCCTCAACTCAATGGTCAACTAATCTTTGACAAAGCAGGAAAGAATATCCGATGGAAAAAAGACAGCCTCTTTAATAAATGGTATTGGGAAAGTTGGACAGCCACATGCAGAAGAATGAAACTGGACCATTCCCTTACACAATATATAAAAATAGACTCAAAATGGATGAAAGACCTAAATGTAAGACAGGAACCCATCAAAATCCTAGAGGAGAACACAGGCAACAACCTCTTCGACCTCGGCCACAGCAATTTCTTGCTAGACACCTCTCCAAAGGCAAGGGAAAGAAAGGCAAAAATGAACTATTGGGACTTCATCGAGATAAAAGCTTTTGCACAGCAAAGGAAACATTCAACAAAACCAAAAGACAACCAACAGAATGGGAGAAGATATTTGCAAATGTTTTATCAGATAAAGGGTTAGTACCCAAAATCTATAAAGAACTTATCAAACTCAACACCCAAAGAATAATCCAATCAAGAAATGGGGAGAAGACATGAACAAACGCTTCTCCAAAGAAGATATTTAAAAGGACAACAGACACATGAAAAAATGCTCCACATCACTCAGCATCAAGGAAATACAAATCAAAACAACAATGAGATACCACCAGTCACAATGGCTAAAATGAACAAGTCAGGAAACAACAAATGTTGGCAAGAATGCAGAGAAATGGGAACCCTCCTACACTGTTGGTGGGAATGCAAGCTGGTCCAGCCACTGTAGAAAACAGTATGGAGGTTCCTCAAAAAGTTGAAAATAGAGCTACCCTACGACCCAGCAATTGCACTACTGGGTATTTACCCCAAAGATACAAATGTAGTAATCTGAAGGGGCAGGTGCACCCCAGTGTTTATAGCAGCAATGTCCACAATAGCCAAATTATGGAAAAAGCCCAGATATCCATTGACAGATGAATGGATAAAGAAGGTGTGGTGTGTGGAATATTACCCAGCCATCAAAAAAATGAAATCTTGCCATTTGCAATGATGTGAATGGACCTAGAGGGTTATGCTAAGTGAAATAAATCAATCAGAGAAAGACAATTATCTGATTTCATTCATATGTGGAATTTAAGAAACAAAACAGAAGAGTATAGAGGAAGGGAAGAAAAATAAAGTAAGACAAAATCAGAGAGGGAGACAAACCATAAGAGACTCTTAACCATAGGAAACAAACTGAGGGCTAGTGGAGGGGATGTGGGTGGAGGGAGGGTAATTGGGTAATGGGCATAAAGGAGGGGACATGATGTAATGAGCACTGGGTGTTATTTACTGAATGATGAATCACTGACCTCTACCTCTGAAACTAAATATACTATATGTTAATTAATTTAAACTAAATTAAATTTAAAAAAATTAAGTGCCCCGCATATAAGGATGTCAGTGTAACTAGGAGAACAGGAGCAAGGTGGGGCATAGTTGGGAGGATAGTAGGAGATGAAGTCAGATGTGTAATAGCCAATATAGGCCATTGTAAGGGCCTTGGCTTTTATTCCTAATTAAATGGGGCCTCATTGTAATATTTTGAATAGAAAGGAGACATGATCAGACTTAAATTTTAAATTGATCACTTTTGTGGCTTTGTTGAAGATGGATTTTGAGATGCAAGGGAAGGGTAGAAGCCAGGAGACCAGTAAAGAGGCTATTGCACCCAACTAGAGATGATGTTAAAGGCTGACAGATTCAGCAAATAAAAATACAGGATACCCATTTAAATTTGAATTTCAGATAAACAGTAAACATTTTTTAGTATCAGTATATCCTAGATACTACATGCGACACACTTAACAGTAAAAAACAAAAACAAAAACCTATTTATTGTTTATTTGAAATTCAGATTTAAACATAGAAAGAACCCATATATCCATCAACTGATGGCTAGATAAGGATTCCATTCCATAACAATGGAATATTATTCAGCCATCAAAAAGAATGAAAGCTTGCCATTTGCAACAACATAGATAGAACTAGAGAGTATTATGCTGAGCAAAATAAGTCAGAGAAAGACAAATACCATATGATTTCACTCATATGTAGAATTTAAGAAACAAAACAGATTAACATGGGGGGAGGGAAGGAAAAAGAGAGTAAGACAAAAACAGAGAGGGAGGTAAACCATAAAAGACTCTTAACTATAGGAAATAAACTGAAGGTTGCTGGAGAGGAGGTGGATGGGGGGATGGGGTAACTGGATGATGGGCATTAAGGAGTAGACTTGAAGTGATGAGCCCTGGGTGTTGTATGCAACAGATGAATCACAAATTCTACCTCTGAAACTAATAATACAGTATATGTTAATTTAATTGAATTTAAATAAATCCATTTTAAAAGGGTGCTCAGATTCTGGATATATTTTGAAGGAGGCACAAACAGCATTTGATGATTGAGTGGATGTAAGGTGCAAGAGAAGGACAGTAGTATGACTTTAACATTTTTTAATTGAACAACTGGAAAGATACAAGTTGTTACTAACTGGAATAGATAAGATAATACAGGTCAATCAAATTTAGAGGGATGAGCAGGAATTCAGGTTTTGGACACGTTGAACAACTTTTCTTAAAGATTTATTGATTTATTTATTTTAGAGAGAAAGTGGGCAGGAGGGAGGGGCAGAGGGAGAGAATCTCAAGCAGACTCCCTACTGAGCATGGAGTCTGATGTGGGCCTCGATCCCATGACCCTGAGATCATGACCTGAGCCAAAATTAAGAACTGGACACTTAACCGACTGAGCCACCAAGGCGCCCCTGCTTGGACATTGTTGAGCTCTTAAAGTTGGGTGGTAGAGTAATAGTCTTTTTTTTTTTTTATTGTCATGCATTATAACTTACATATATGTAACAAATATTATGTAAGAAAATAAATAATAAAAATAATTTAAAATACTATCCTCAAAAATAAAAAAAAGGAAGTGATGAAGGACATTTGAAGTTGTGGACTTGAATGACTGAAAAGCTACTTAAAGAAAAAACTAAGCAATCTTAAGTGGTTTGGTGTATTTAAGAAAACTAGAAGATGCTGTCTACCTATGTACTGCCCTCAGTGCCTGGTATTGTATATTTCTATAGGAAGATTCTATGTAAATTCTGAAGATAAGCATGAGCATACTTATTTAAACTATATGTGGTAGAACTACTTTTTTCTCTTTTTTTAGTGTTAAGACGCGACCAGTGAGGATGCCTCCAGGGTATCAAGCAGAGCTTGTTATTCAGTTGGTGTGGGTGGATGGTGAGCCTCCCCAACAGATTACTAGTCTTGCTGTAAACTCAGCATATGGAATGTAAGTAAACACTCTAATTTGTTTTAATATATTTTATATACTTAGATGTTTCTTTTAAAATACCTAAGTGCTAAAAGTGGGAAGAAGCCCTTAACTGGATTTTTACTTGATTGAAAATGGTATAAGAAAAATAATAACATAAATAAAACCTATGATTATTTATTCTTGCTTAAAGTCAAACTTGTGATAATATTCCCACTTTTAATGTTAAGAGGTTGTTAGGATGTTATTACACATACTTTCTGGTTTCTCTTCTATCCTTTTCCTCCTTATGTTTCAACTTGGATACTTTCTTCTGACTTGTCTTTTAGAGTTCACTGATTCTCTCTTCAACTGTTTCTAATCTTTGGTAGATCTACCCATGGAGTTCAGTTTTAGTTATTTTATTTTTCAGTTCTATGCCTTTCATTTGGTTCTTTTTAAAGCTTCTTGTTATCTTCCTATCATTCTTGTCCTTCATTTCCTTGAACATGTTGAATATAGTTCCTTTAAATATGTGTTTGATAACTCCCTATGTGGTATCTAATTTATTATTTGTCTTAGATTTTGATTATATTATCTTCATGTATCCCAGATTTGCTTTCTGGTTTTGTTTCTAATTTTTTTATGGAACATTATATGAATTTATATAACATCATATATTTATTTATATACCTATAAATAAATAAATATTATAAAGATAATTTTGGGTTCTAAGTGATGTTATCATCTTCCAAAAAGTATTCACATTTCCTCTAACAGGCTAAACTAAGAGGAAGTAGCTTAGAACAACATAGTCCAATCAGACATTCTTTGAAAGTTGGATAGTATTCCTTTTAAAAGCTAATTTAATTCTAATTAATCCTTATTTCTAGATTGTAGCCCTCCATAGAAGTTGTGCCAAATTATACTCCCACCACCGTTTTAAGAATGCCTGATCTTCCATTACCTTTTTTTTTAAAGAAAGGCAAGGCAGCTTTTCTTTTTTTTTAAGATTTTATTTATTTATTTGACAGGAGAAAGAACACAAGCAGAGGGAACTGCAGGCAGAGAGAGAGGGAAAGGGAAAAGCAGGCTCCCTGCTGAGCAAGGAGCCCTATGTGGGGCTCAATCCCAGAACCCTAGTATCATTCCATTACCTTTTTAACAGTGTATAAGCAAACTTTTAATCCCTGTCATTTTGTTAAGTATATAAGTAGACTTTTCTCATATCTTAAGTGAAATCGAACATATTTTCTTGTACTATGACATTTCTGTTTATATTCTTTGTCCATTTTTCTGCAGAGTTGTTAATATTTCTCTTACAGATTTGTGAAAACTATTTACAAAGTAGGAAAGTTAGTTTTCTATGTGACGTAACTTGCCAGTATTTTCCCTGCTTTTGTTTATGAGGTTGTTTAGGATGGTTTTTTCCATGCATAAATTTAAAAAATTTTTAAAGTAATTCTATTTTTTATGGCTCTGGATTTTGTGTCATACTTAGAAAAGCTTTCCTCACTTACTATATTCTCTTTTAATATATTTATTTTTAACATATTTAAGTATTTCTTCTGTCTAGCATTTATTTACATATAAGGTATGAAATAGGGATTAAACTTTTTTCCAGATGATTAAGAGTTGCAGCCAACACCACCTCCTGTATACTTCATCTTGTCCCTCAAAATTTAGAATCATCTTTTATCAAATAATACATTTTTAAAAATATATTTGGATCTACTTCTATACTTTCCAGTCTTCCCCTAAGCTAAGTCTGATGAGCTCCAAGAGCTCTTTGAAGCCATTTGAAAGGCAGACAACCTTAAAAAAATCTTGTGTTCCTGGAGTTTTTACAGTGTGGAGGTTCTATGTGAATATACATAAGGGGAACTTGTTTTTGACTGAAAACTTGTTGGGTAGGGAAACTGGAAGAAACAGCCCTTTAATGAATGGAGGAGAGAGGATGGAAGTGTGGGACAATCAATAATCCCATTATTTGATATGGCAAGAATATATGTTTGCAAGAATATAGCCCAAGTAGTTATGGCCGATGACTGATTTCAAGCCATTTTCAGGGTTCTGTACTCAAAAGACTGACCTATAAAGGCAAGGAATGACAAAATTAAGAGGCCAGGAAAGTATATCACCAGGTTCAGAAGCTGAAGGTTGTTTAGAATAAGTCAGAGAGCATATTTTCCATGTAAAGTAACTGTGGCAGTGACAGTCACTATAGAACCTCTGAAGAACCTACACTTGTATGAGAAAGACAGCTTGGACACCTTTCTCATAGACAGTTTGAACTGCCGAAAAACTCCGCTCAAGTGGCTACTTATATAAATCCCAGCAAAATTTTAAGAAATAAGTAATACCAATATTACACAAAACTTTCTGAGAATTGAGAAAGAAAAAGTCATATTCATATCTTTTTGGGCCAGCATAATCTGATGCCAAAATTTGAAAATACCATTACTAAAAGTGCAACATGAATATAGGTGTAAAAATCCCAGCCAAAATATAAATAAATCTAGCAATAATAATTACATACTATAGCCAGGTTTTGTTTATGCCAGGAATGCAAGGCTTGTTTAACATTTGAAATGAATTCATGTAACTCATCACATTAAAGGATAAAATAGAAAACCATGTAAGTAAGCCATGAGTTGCAAAAAGCAAAAACATTTGGTAAACCAAGAAGGAAATTTCATTAATCTGATCCATGGCAGGAAATATCATTCATACTTTACAGTAAAATATTGAAAGGTTTACAGACCTCTGAGATAAAAACAGGACTAGGATGACTGCTGCCACCACCTCTATTCACACTGTGCTGTAAGTCCTAGCCAGGACAATACAGAAAGGAAAATAAATCAAAGTTATGTAGATTAGAAAAAAAGGAAATGATTAGGTATGTACATCATTTAAATACTTTACAGATTATTAGAATCACTAATAGATTTTAACAAGATTGCTGAATACGAAGTCAATGTAAAAATAAGTTACATTTCCATATACTAAAAAAACAGAAACTAAAATTGTATAGATTCCATTTATAATAAAATAAAAATAATAAAAAATCTAGGACTACACCTAATAAAAGATAATCAAGACCTCTACACAGAAAACTGTAAAACTTAAGAGAAATTAAAGAACCTAAATCATGGAATGTAAAATTCAATAATAGTACAAAGATGTCAGGTTTTCACAAAATGATCTATAGAATTACCACAATGCCAGTATAAATTTTAGCAGCTTTTTTTCCCCTGGAAGTTTAAAACTGGTTCCAAAATTAATAGAGAAATGCAAAGGACCACAGTTAGCTATGACAGTACTAAAGAAAAACAGAATTAGAAGCCTTGCTCTATTGGAAAACAAGACTTATTAAATAAAGATAGATTGGTTATGACAGTGTTTCTATTGGCACAGGAGAGATAGACAAAAAGACCAATGCACAGAGGAAAGAGTGCAGAAAGAGATCCAGGCATTTATAGCCAAATTGGCTCTGCAGAGCAATAGAGGAAGTGACAGGTTTTCCCCCCAATAAATACTACAAAGTCAATTGAAAGATTATATAGAATAATATAAATACTACAAAGTCAATTGAAAGATTATATAGAAAACTGAAATTTGACTCTTCTTTCCTACTACACACAGAGATTCAAAAGGTATTATAGGAGAATATCTTCATTACACTTGTGTTAAGAAAATATTTTTTCAACAATACTCAAAAAGTATTAACTGTAAAGAAAAACATTAAGAACTTCTTGGAAAAAAGGGCATCATTAAGAGAGTGAAAGGGCAGGACAAGGAAGAGATATTTGGATTAATTATATCTGACAATGGACTTATTAATATGCAGAGTATAAAAAGAGTCTCATGTATCATCAATAAGGAAATCACAAATAACAAAAAACGCAGAAGAAATTTGAGTATGTTGCAAAGAAAGATATATAAATGACACATATATTTTCATATATATATAAGAAGGTACACAACCCCATTAGTAATGTTGGTAGGGTTTGCAAAGATACTGGGTAGCAGGAATTCTCATACATTGTTGTTAAGAGGGTAAATTGTTGAATCTACTTTATAAAATTGGTAGCATTATTTACTCCATTTTAGCATACATAGGTTGGCACACCCTACAACCCAAAAGTTTCATTTCTGGGTATGTACCAAATGAAAGGCAAGCACATATGTTTCAAAAGACAGTAGCATTATTTGTGATGGCAATATTATATTTGTAATAGCCCCAAATTATAATAAAATATGCCTATCAGAGTAGATTGACTAAATAAATTGTGACATATCCATTTGAATTCTACAGCAATTAAAGTGAAAAACTACATTTACATGTACAATATATATGAAAAAAGCCAAACATCTATCAAAAACAAGCAAAACTGGTAGAAAGTCAGATTTGGGGAGAGGAAAGAGTAGCAATAATTGGCAGAAGCGTGAGGCAGCTGCTTGTAACATACTATTTCTTGACATAGTTGTGGTTATGTGGGATTGTTCACTTTGTGATAATTCATTGAAGTGTACAATTATGTACATTTTTATTTATGAATGTTTCACTTGAATAAAAAAGCAAAATATAAGATTTTTGCAAATTGAGTAATTTTATTTCTAGAAATTTATCCGATAATTATATTCTGTATTTTAGTGCAAGTAACTTATGAAGGATATTCATTGTTGTATTGTTAATAGCAAAAGACTAGAAGCAACCTATTGTCCATTAACAAAGTTCTAGGTAAATAAATCAGATTACACATAAATATTATGGAGTTATTTTAAAAAATTCATGTCCTATGAATTTACATAGAATAATTACCAAAATATCTAATAAAGTTAAAAAAAATCAAAGTACAGGATATTATACTATGCGATATTGTTTATCTGTAATATGCTATAAACATCCAGAGTACATTTTTTAAACTTCTACAAATTGATAAGAAAAAAAATTACCCAATTACAAAATAAGCAAACTATATAAACAGGCAATTCAGAAAAGAAATACAAATGGCCAATAAATATGAAAGGATTTATAACTTCACTAGTAACAAGTAAAAAAAATTGAGGCAACAGAATAGCAATTTTTATGTTATATGAATTTTTAAAGATTGTTAGTATTTTTTTTCTTTTATGAATTTATTTTTTGACAGAGAGAGACACAGCGAGAGAGGGAACAGAAGCAGAGGGAGTGGGAGAGGGAGAAGCAGACTTCCCGCAGAGCAGAGAGCCCGATGTGGGGCTCGATCCCAGGACCCTGGGGTCATGACCTGAGCCGAAAGCAGACGCTTAATGACTGAGCCATCCAGGCGCCCCAAGATTGTTAATATTTTCCGTTAACAATATGAGGAAATGGATTCTTTTTTATACATTTTATCTTTTAAAATAAAACTATATCTTTTGACCCTAAAATTCTAATCTTAGTGAAATTTTTACAATTTCTGATGACTCACTTATGCACAGTTTGTAGAAGGATGTTCTTTATTATATATAATAACAAAACATTTGGAACCTATATAAATGTCCATAAATAGGAAGATGCTCTTTTAAAAAACATGTTACTTTTGTTCCTTAGAATACAACAGTTAAAGAACACAGACAAGGAAATATGTCTTCAATGTATTTTTGTGAAAATAAGAAAGTTATAGAATAATTATATGCTTGTTAAAACATGGGAAAAGGGCAAGAAGGGTATAATAACTGTTAGTGACAATCATTTTTGAAAGGGGATTGGCATACAGTGGGCCAATTAAGGGGACTTTCATCTTATATTTATTGTTGAAATTGTTTAAGTAAAAATACTTTAATTTTTAAAATTAAAAAATAAAGTTTAAAAAAAAGAAAACTTTGCTTTGTGCCTCTGAACATACTTTCCTTAGGGACTTGGGAATGTGAGTTGGTGAGAATCATCAGACACTAGAAATGGTTAGAAAACCTTGGACCTTTGGATATAAAAACAAAACCCATCTATATGCTGCCTGTAAGAGACTCACTTCAGACCTAAAACACACATAGGCTGAAGGTGAAGGATACAAACTGAAGTAAAACAAAACAAAACAAAAAATGCTGGTGTCACAATACTTATATCAGAAATGAACTTTAAAACAAAGATTGTAATAAAAGACAAAGAAGGGCATTACATAATTTTAAAGGGATCAATCCAAAAAGGTATTTACCCCTATGCTATTTGGGACAACATGGATGGACCTAGAGGGTATCATGCTATATGAAATAAGTTTGAGAAAGACATGACCTGAGCCCAAAGCAGAGGCCCAACCGGCTGAGCCACCCAGGCACCCCTCTAGTATTCTTAATTTTAATTAAAGATAAAAATAATCATTTTGGTTAGTGTAGTACATTCTAATTTCCTATTTTTGTTTCTTGTTAGTATTGCATTTGAGAACTCTATCATACCTGTACAACTTTAGAGAGATTAACTTGCTATGATATATAATTTGTATAATATTGCATTTACTTATAATATTGGGATCAATTCTACTTATGTATGGAAATTTTTTTGAAGTACTTTAATAACAAATTTCTGATTTGCTATTCATAAGAGCCATGAGAAGTAGATAAATCTAGTATTATAATTCTTTTTATAAAGTAAAGAAACTAAGGCCTGGCAAAGTTTCTAATTTTTTTTTCAAGGTCACCTATAAATGATGGAGATGTAATCTGCTGACTTTTATAACAATATTTTTTTTAGTTTCCAAAGTCTGTCTTATTGAAGATGTAGAACTCTGTGTGAAATAGCAAAACATCTAATATGGTAGAACTTTTTTCTTTTTACTTATAAGGAAGGCTATGTGATAGAGTAGAAAGAACTAGACTGAGAGTAAACTGATGATTTGTTAATCAGATTCAATCTAAGTAATAAAACAACATGGAACTTACATAAAATAAGCAAAACAACAGTCATGCAACTAGTGTTTATTTAGTTTAGGTAGCAAAAAGCACAAATATACAATTGTTCAGTTAGAAGGCATGTTGTAAACTGAGAAAAAATAGTTTGTGTAAGCCTAATGGTTAGGCTGACCAACATGCCTGCTTAGGGACACCTGGATGACACAGTTGGTTAAGTGACCAACTCTTGGTTTCAGCTCAGGTCATAACCTCAGGGTTGTAAGATCAAGCCCCATATCTGGCTATGCACTGAGCGGGGAGTCTGCTTCGGATCTCTCTTCCTTCCCCCTGCCCCTCCTGCTCATGTCCTCTCTCTCTCAAATAAATAAATAAATCTTCAAAATGCCTGCTTAGTAGAGCTGTTTTAATTTCTCAGGAGAAATTAATCAAATGGTGTTTGTCCTTTAATAAGTAGGACAAAATAAAGAACAAGAGAGTGAGAAAAATTTTAATTTTTGTGAATGAAAATTGTATCTCTTTATATCTACTAAGGTGTCAAAACCTTAGGTATAGAAAGTTAATTTTATGTAAAATTTTGTGTTAAATATATACTCTCTGTTTAAGAAGAGACATAATTTGGAGCTTAACAATTATAATTTTATTTTAAAAAGGCATCTAATTATTTCACAGCCAAAAAAGGCATCTAATTACATACCTAACCATCTATAGCTATTAAAGTGTGCCATTTCTTGATGTATTTCCCCATTGCATAGTGAAAAGATTTTCTATGATTCTATTATAAAAACATAAGGCCAAGTTCAAGAGCAGATTGGGTAATCGCTACCTACTAATAAAATTAATGCTGAAATATGACTGCAGGGGTCATGGCTACTATACAAGGTTAACCTATCCTATGTAAAGGCATGATATCCTTCCTGATATTATACCAATCATGATCTAACCTCCCCAACCCTAAGGCATTACTTTCTAATTATCTTATTTTTATTCAAAGATAAAAATAATAATGATTGCTGTGATACATTCTAGTTGCATATTTTTTTTCTCTCAGAGTTGCATTTGGGAACTGCAATGGGTTGGCTGTGGTGGATTTTATACAGAAGACAGTACTGTTAAGCATGGGGACCATTGACCTATATAGATCAAGTGACCTATACCAACGTCAACCACGGTCACCTCGAAAAAACAAGCAGTTCATTGCAGGTAGGAGATAAAACAAAATGGTTATGAGCTTGATTAGTTCATCCGTTTTCTTACATTTGGATTTCTTATCTTTCTTCTATGATATGGTTCAAATGCATGGCAATATAAAGTCAACATAATTTATGATATGTGAATAAAATTGGGCAGAAACATAGTGAGAATCTTGAAAGTGTAAATGAAGTGTTTAAACTTCAATTTGCTGTCAAAGTTAGGAAGCATCTCAAGTATCTTAGGTCGAATTCCTAAGAAATAACAGAAAACAAGAAGCTATTAAATATAAAAATGCTATGAAAATCAGGTTCTGTAGTTGAAAAATTTGTTTGCAATGGTTGTGTTTAACAGGATAATTTTCTCCTATTATATCTGGACTCTTTAAAAATATAATTTTAAGTATTTCACTATTTTTAATTTTTTAAACTCCATATTCTAGCTGTCACCTTTCCTTGTTGGATGGTGATTTTCTTGGAGGCATTTTCACAAATGCAGTAAACATTATTAACATTTTTAAATGCTATGAAAGAGAACATTTTGCTTGACAGGGCCAATAAATTTGTTTAACTATATATAGTTAATTAAGATATAAGCAGAAATAATTTCTATACAATGACAAATTTTGATATACCAAATTATCCAAAGTTTACTGAAATTTCAATATTTATCTGAATAGTTGGCTTTGTAAATAGACAAAATTTTGTACATTTTCTGTCCACTGATGTACTATAGTTGACAAAAAATTAGTTGAGCTCAAAGATTTGCAGATGGAAATACATCTATAGTATTATGTGTTTAGTTCTATTAGATTTTGTTTTTTTAATCAGTTGATTTTAAAAATTCAGTTGATTATTAAAGCTCTTATTAAATATACTCATGTAAAGAATGTTTTCATCTAGAAAGATAACATGATAATAGGTATTATTTTCTAAATAACAAATGTGCGAAACTTAACATCTGAATGTTATAATAAAAGAAGTTTCTTCCCAGTGATGAGTATTAAGGAGGGCACGTATTGCATGGAGCACTGGGTGTTATATGCAAACAATGAATCATGGAACACTACATCAAAAACTAATGATGTAATGTATGATAATTAACATAGCATAAAAAAACTAATGATGTACTGTATGGTGACTAACATAACATAATAAAACAGCTATAAAAAAGTTTCCTTTTGGACTAATGAAAAATTAACTTGACATGCTGAAATTCTCCCTTTGTGTTAATTTTTTTTTTTTTAAATAAACCTCAACCCTTTCCACATTGCTAACTTAGACCCTTTTCAAGAGCACAAAATTTCTCCTTCAGAACTTGGAATCTCTGTTTTTTTGTTAGGGATCTCAGCTTTTAGCAATATTTTAGGAATGCTGGAAAGTTCAAATTCTATAGGTTCTGCCTCTACTATTTCCAGCTTTTGAAAGAACGGCAGAATAAGAGAAATTGTGCACGCATTTACCATAAGATACCCTCATGATTGGGAAAGAGAACATTGATTTTTGAAAGTTTATGGACTCTAGGATAGGAAGATATTAGGGGTTAGGAGGCAACATTTGTATGTGGAAAGCCCAAACTGAATTAAAAAACTGTGGATCCTATGACAGCATCTAAGTTACTTACTGGATATACACAATGGGATGACAAGGTGTATATTGTGACGAGCATAATAAGACTGTTATTAATTTAAACTTATTGAAACTCAATTATGATTAGAGCTTAGAATTTTGGTGACTTTAAAATCAGGAAAAAACTGATGAAATCATAAACTTTGTTCATATTTCATGTATAAAATCACTACAATGAGTACTCACTTTGTGTTTACCAAAAACTAAAATCCCTAAGCTTTCTTGTTAATACTCAAGACTAAGGACAAGCATTTTGATTTTTATGAGGTAACAAACATATTATTTACAAGTGAAATAAGTTTACTACATAAAATGAATGAGAAATATGACATCTATTCTTATAGGATATTTGATTAAGTAAAATTACTACAACACTCTCATCATTCATCTATCACCTCTTTCTAATTGATTTTTTTTTAATATCTCCTTTCTAATTTGACTACCTAAACTTGCTGCAATTTCTTCATCTTGGCTGTTCTAGATTCTGGTATGATATCCCTTCCTTTCACTTTAGACTATTTTTCTCTCTTTCCTCTGCCTGCTGCTGATGCTGATGTTCTGGCATGTTCCAAAGACAACTTTTGCATGCGTGGCCTGTCTAACCTTTATCCTGATTTAACGAAACGGATCCGTACTTCCTATCAGAGTAAGTTCTATAAAGGTTAGGCAAATAGCTTTTTTAAGTCTTAATGCCTGGTTAAACCCATACATCTGTGCTTAGTAATGTGTTTTTAAAAACACATTCAGCATGCATGCAAATTTTTGTTTTGTTATGGAAGTGCAATCTGATAATTTTAATAATTGTATAAATACTTCAAATAGCTAATGTCATATACCTATTTATTCACACCCATTATATTTCCAACCCTGCAGACCACATTCTCTTAGTTCAAGAGTCCCTGTCTTTTGTTTTGAGGAGGAAGAGCGATGGTGTCCTTATAAATAGTAAACCTGACATTCCAGTATCAATAACAATTGATTGCTTTCTTGTTTTGGAAACCTTGTGCCTTTGGCCATTTTATAAAAGTGTTCTAACAAGGCCACAATATTTTCTTTTTCTAAATAATTAGATTTCTTAGAGTTAGCTAAGTGTTCCCAACTTCTGATCCTTTTTATTAAAATAGAATACACAAACACATGTTTCCATAGTGATTTTAGGTAATGAACACTATGAAATTGGGGAATTAAAGTCACAAACTAAAGAGTCAATAGTATTAACATTTACCATGGTGGAAATTGCAAATTTGAAGATGGTGGAGTAATCAATTCTATAAACTAGTGCAGAAAGAATGGAGAATGAGGGTATGATTGCAGGTGCAGATGATATTAGTGATATTAGGGGTGAACATTCATTGACAAGAAGACATTTACAATATACTAATCAATGTTATGTTTTTAAAAAGCAGGTTGCTTAACAATATATATGATGGCTTCATATTTGTATAAAATACACACACACACACACACACACACACAAATGCTGTTTGAATCTTGAATTTCTTCAGACTTCACCTCACCTGTTTGTAGATGATTAATGGGATCACATCATTTATAATAACCTAAAACATTGTCTTCCTGTAGCTAAAGATACTCAATCCCTGTGAAATCCATAAAATTTTTCTGGGAATGCCCTTATTTTTCATCATCAGCATCCTCTAATTTTCTACTCTAGCAGAACACTCCCTTTTTGGATGCTTTTCACTGTCTCAGCTCCTGGTGAATTGTGATAGAACATTGATATCTATGTTGACTTCTGCTTCTCCTAAAACAGAAACCTGTTAGGTATTATGATAACATTTCTTAACACCTGAAAATTATATGAAATTTCAGTTTCCATAAATAAAACTTATTGGCGCACAGCCACACTCACCTTTTACATACTGCCTATGGCTGCATCCACACTACAATGGCAGAGTTGAACAGAAACCATATGGCCCATGATACTCAAAATACTTACTATATTGCTCTTTACATAAAAAATTAGCTTACTTCTACCCTAATTCTATTCTTTCATACCCATTTCCTGCCAAATAAAAAGTTTCAGCCAAAACTTTTTCTTGTAAATATTCTCCAGGTGGTTTAACACACATACTCAAGCTTTTGAATCCCAGTTTAGCCTTCTCAAGGTTGGATGCTCCCAACATTGTGTGTGTATGTGTGTGTGTATGTTTGTGTGTGTGTGTGTGTGTGAGAGAGAGAGAGAGAGAGAGAGAGAGAGAGAGAGAGAAAATGTATCCATCTATACAAATAGAAAAAGTTTCCAAACATGAGATTGTAGATTTTACCAAGTTCTTCTTTTAGTTTTATGTATTTTCTGATATTTCTATAATAAACATGTAATGCTTTTATAGTAAGAAGAGAAATTGTATCCTGAAGATAAGAGCAGGAGCAGTCAGAATTCTACAGTATCAACCATGATATAAAGGTTAAAGAAGTTCTGAGACATGCTCACTTACTTCTAACCCTTCAATAATCTTATGTTGCCTTCAGATTTAAAAAGCAAAGATTTTAAACATTCAGGGTACTCTAAAATATAATTCCTATCTACATTTCCAAATGAATTTTCTACTACTCTTCTATAAAAACACTCCCCTTAAGCCAAGTATACATATCTTGCTACCCTCATAATTTATTCATATCATCCCCTCTCTGGAAATGCCCTCTCAAATTTTACTTCCTGTTGTAAACCTTTCCTGCTGCCATCAGAGCCCTATTGTGCCAGTTTCTTTATTTAAATGCCTATAGTGTATAAGCTTGTATGTGGAAGTATGTGAACCAGTTACTACTTAGCATAAATTCATTTGTATGTTTACTTATTTTTATGCATATGCTCTACCTTTCCAAATGCATGGCAAGAACCTGAAGAGTAGATCTCAAATTCTTTATACTCTCTACACCTAGCACAAATACGTGCTCAGTAATTAAATGATGATGGTTAGGATAGAGCATGTAGCTGGCTCTTTTTGCTCATATGAATAGCCAGAGGATTTTTCAAATTTGACAAGTGAAAGCAGAAATAGCTTCTGTAGTTCCAGGGTTCACTGGGATTCTGCAAAACAAATCATAGTTTCTTCTAAACAAAGATCTGAAGTGTCAAGACAGAAGTAAAATCAAGTCCTTAGAAGACTATTAAAAGATCCTCTATGTGTCCACCAGTGAGCTCCCTAGGAGTTCAGACAAGCCATGAGATTCAAAATCAAATTTCTTTAAAGTCTTCTCTTGATAATCAATATGCTATATTTTGATAAGGACTGATTAATTGGAATATGTTTTAAAAATAAATTTTATGAAAATTTGCTTTTAATTTATTTAATCATATAACCTGATTACATCTTTATAGTTCCATTTTATTATAATAGAGACTATTTGGCCTTTTCATGAATTGTTTTCTAATTTTCAGGAAAGCATATTTGCATTCTCTATTTGGGGGAACTTAACCCACTTCCTTTAAGTGTCTTTTCTATTCTGGGATTGTGCTCAGCAATTTGACTCAGTGTTATATTATTTAATGGTCATTGTAACCCTTTAAGGCAAATAGATAACTGTAGTTTCCTCTACAGATGAAAAAAATGAAGTCAAAAGATATTAATTTCCCAAAGTTACAATTAGTGGGAATTATACTTACACATATTTGATACAAAACAGGCTTCATATGCTTTCCACTGTATTATTGAGCGTCTCTAAATATCTGAAAGTTTCAGGATCATTGGAAACCAATTGCATTATACTATAATCAGGAACCACTTTTTTTTCCAGTTTTTATCCACAATCAATAAAATAATATATTCAAAAATGAAACAATTTAAAATTATTTCTCACAATTGAGACTAGACAGGTGCTCTCTGAAATCCAGCTTTTATATTTTATTGTATCAATTTTGCTCTCAAAATGATATCACATTCTATTTTGAATTTTATACTTTTCATTTCTGGAGAAACACCTCAATTGTGATCTTTTCCTGGGCTCTTTCACTGATCATTTTTTATTGTAGTTTAGGTTCCAAGGAACTCCCTCCCCTAAAACTTTATTCCATCTGCAAATCTTTCACATCATAGAATAATAAGACCCTATAGCTCAAAGGAAACCTCTGTATTTGACAGATTATGATTTGTGGAACCAGTGAAATGATTTGGAAAGAGCAATAGGCAAGTTCTACTTATTAACTACTCATTATGTCTGAAATCTTTGGCAAGTCACTTAACTTCTCTGAGTTTCTTTTTTCTCATATATAAAGTAAAAAATCATAATCCCTACATCCCTTAGAGACTTATGGAATTTTTCTTGGTTAATGTTTATAAAAGCATTTCTATAAATAGTAGACATTATTATTATAATAAAAGACAAAAACCAAGACACAGAGAGGTTAGATAAGTTTTCCAGAATCACAACCAGTCTATGGTATGACTAACACCCAGTCAGCTGCCTCATAGTCTAATGTTTATTCTACTTGTGAAAATGACAGAAATTTTGCTAGTTAGAGAATAGTAGTATCCTGTTTGAACAAAAAGGAGTTTTGAAAAGTGGGCTTAATGTAGAACATGTCAGACAGACTTGCTTGTGCATCAGTTTCTAGTTATGTAATGGGAGATCCCTTAGAAAGCCTCAAGTCTATCTATAGATATTTTCCTGCTTTCACTGCGTGGGTTTTTTCAGAGTGTAGGGAATGGTAACAGATACTGGGAACACAAATAGAAGCATAAAGAAAAATTCAGAAGAGGGGATGATAAGAATAAGAACTAGCAAAGAGAGGCAAATAAATATAAAAAATGAATTGGAGAACATCAAAAAATGGAGGAGTAAAAGAATAAGAAAAGAAGGAATGCCTCAAGGAACAAAAATGAGCAAAAATTATGGTAAATAATAAATGGGAAAAATTCATTCATTCAAAAAAATATTAAGCATCTTCTGTGTCTAACATTTTTCCAGGCACTAGATATACAGTGATGAGTAAAATAATTATGATCTCTTTCCTCAATTTATAATAGAAAACATATAAAGAATCCATAGATGTACTGTTACAGTTGAAAAAAGATAGCAATGCTATCAAGGAGAAAAATGAGATAAGCGGGAAATGTGAACCTTGTTTTGAGAGTGTTATGACAGAAGGGCCTATTTGAGGAGGAAACATTTAAGTGAAGCTTTATGATAAGAAGAAAACAGACAATGCTTTGGACTTACACTTCAGACCTCAATAGAGAAACAGGCCAGATTAACATCTAGCCTGAAATAAACAAACAACAAAACAGATATAATAAATGAAACTATGGTTTTTTTTAAGACACAGAACATCAGGCAATGAAATACAGTAATCTCTGACAAATGGGAAACAAAAGAAGTGAACCCTAAAACCACACGTTTACTGCCTTGAGAGTTTCTAGACTGCAGCAAAGGAGGAGGGGAAACCCAGGAGGAAACCTGTTGACTCCCAGAGTTGATGAGATGGAGATGAGAAACCAGGAAAATGAAAGCAGCTATAGTTTACAAAGAGGATCCCAGAGATCTACAGAATTTCCTCAACAAAGTACTGATCAACACATACTTATGATGAACTAAGCAGGGAAAGAGCCATCTGAAGGAATTAAAGGAAACAGTGCCCAGCACTCAAAGGAAATAGTGCCTATTCCCCACAGCCAGACTAGAAAAAAC